TGGAGGGCAGTGTCACTGGCCCTCATATGTGGGATCCGAACCGGGGCCCTCTGGCATCCCAAGCGAGTTCTTAACCATCGCGCCACTCGGCCGGCCCAGAGAAGGGGGAAATTTTTAATGAGGTATCTCAGTTCTTGCTCACCAGCCCACCAAGTTCTCATCTGGGAACTTGCACCATGGCAGCTGTAGCAGTGGTGTGTATCTGTTTCGTTTATTGCTTCCACTGTGTTGAGGTGGTCTTCTCTATTCATGCCAGTGATTCATGGTGTTCTGGCCCTCTGGCAGTTGGACAGCTTGTGTGATTGGAGGACTTGCCACTCTGGACTTGCTTTCCAAGTATCTCAGCGTTTGTGTTTTTTTTTAATTGAAGTATAATTGACATACAATATTACATTAGTTTCAGGTACAGTGTAGCGATTCAACTGTATATACGTTACAAAATGATCACCACAGTAAGTCTGTGAGTAGTTACCATTTGTCAGCATACAAAGTTGATAGCATATTATTGTTTATATTCCCCATGCTGTATACTACATTCCCATGACTTATTTATTTTATATCTGGAAGTCTGTATCTCTTGAGTCACTTCACCCCACCCCCAGCCCCCGCCACTATCAGTCTCTCCTCCATATCTATGAGTCAGTCTGGTTTTGTGTTTTCGATTCCACATCTAAGTGAAATCATGGCATTTGTCTCTCTGTCTGACTTATTTCACTTAGCATAATGCACTCAAGGTTCATCCATGTTGTTGCAGATGCAAGATTACATTCTTTTTTATTTTTGTTTTTTTTTGGGGGGGCTGAGTAGTATTCCATTGTATGTATAGATACCATCTTTATCCATTCGTCTGTTGATGGACACTGGTTGCGTCCAGTAGCTCAGCATTTGTCTCTGAAGTCTCAAGACCTGAGAATGGTGGGGGATCAGTGACAGTTCAAACAGATCACTCAAAAGCCATTTCTAGTGGACCTCCAGAATATAGAGTATGTTTTGCTAACTGATGGAGGAGGGAGGTATTTCCTTTTGATTTATGCTTGGTTGGTAACAGTTACTAAAATTATCGTCTGTTCGCAGGGCAACATCAGCTAGTGGAGAGGGAGGTGGCATACCTTCCAGATAGGAGAAACCAGTCTAGAAATTATAAGTGAATAATCCCCAAAGCAGCTAACGAAGAATTGGCTATAATTCAGTTTGTTTTTTATGAAGTAGATGAGTAATTGATGGTGTGACAAGTGTATTATGCTAATGGAATCATTTAATATCTTATGTTAACACCCACCTAAAAGGAATACTCAGCTAATTGATGTCTATTTAAGGAAAACCGTGTAGTGGTGTTGAATGTCAGAACTCATGATTTGGCTGCAGCTACTTCTTCAGGCTGCCATTCCAGTTTCAATTTTGACAATTTTTTTCATCAGAACTGTTTTAACACTTTCACTCCATTTGAAGCTTTCTCAAACTTGTATGATTGCAGGTTGAGGACTTCACAAGTGTTTATGAAGAGGTTGATGAAGAACAGTATTCGAAGCTGGTTCAGGCACGCCAGGATGATGACTGGATCGTGGATGATGGTATGTGGGAAGAAATTGCCTGCCAGCCACTGTCTTAGTTGCACTTCGTACATTCTCATGTGGCGGAGTTGCTGCTTTGCATGGGCAGATGTAAGGCTGTTAAGCTCATACCTTTGGCTTGGATTTTCCTCAAATACAGTATTTGAGGGTGTGGTAGCAACACAATAGATAGTTTATTTGGGGGCATTTTGGAGAATCCAGGCACATACCTCAGGATCTAGTATAAATCTTCCAGGAAATGGCTGTGTAGATATTGGGAGGAGCCACACAGTTGTGTGGTGTCCCCACATATGTGGGGATAAGAAAGCTACCTACCTCACAGAATGGCTGTGAGGATTCCACGAGACTATATGTGTGAGGAGTACCTTGGGCAGTGGAAAGCACCATGCAAAGGGTGGTCCTTACATTCCCCTGCCCCTTGTGGAAAGCTCGCGGTTCCTGCTGCTACCGTATGACTTCTTGGGCATGTGAATGCTGACCGCAGGGACGAGCAGTAGACTGTGCTTGTGACTATATTTATGTTTCTACGTCTATAATTGGATTCAGCCATATTGCCAGTTTTCCCTCGTAGACTGAGGTGCTTTTCTGGGCTTGTCATTTGATTCTTCTACATTTCTTATTCTGGTAGAGTAAGCCTACTGTGAAGTATCCAACTTTGGCAAACTTTGATTCTGTGGGCCAAATCATTTCCCTAGCTGACCTTGGTAGGTACAGGCGTACATATCCATCAAAGAGGTTGCAGGTTCAGTTCCAGACCACTGCAATAAAGCAAGTATCGCAATAAAGTGAGCTGCAGTCTTTGCTGGTGAAGGGTGTTGCCTTTATGTTGTAAAAAACCCAACTTCTGTGAAGCACTATAAAGGGAAAGGCAATAAGACGAGTGATGCCTATGTAACTCACCTTCGATTTTGACTCAGAAACCTGTGTGGATGTTGTGTTTTGTCTGACACTTGTTTAAACAGGGTTCTGCTGTACTTAAAAAGGGCACAGGCCAGGAAAACACCAGAGTGGGTATAAAGGTGTGTGTTTGTTAATAGCTAAAATATTATTGGCCACTTTTAGAAACTTGATCCCAGTATTAAATTTTGTTCCTGCAGATGGTATTGGCTATGTGGAGGATGGCCGAGAGATTTTTGATGATGACCTTGAAGAAAATGCCCTTGATTCCCATGAGAAAGGTACCTACATTTTGGTTTTAAGACAGTGCCATTTTGAGATTTAAAGAATTGTGTAAAATTTGAGATGACTTAGTACTTTGATACTGTTTCCTTTAAGGAAGAAGGACCTACCACAGTTGTTTTTAGGTGTAGAAAATGTTCTGTTATTGAGAGGAGCATAGTTATGTGGAAAAGTAAATGTAAAATGCAAAAACATCACCAGGAAATGAAGTTTCATGTCTCTGTTGTCCAAAGAATTTGGTATTTTACTTATTTTGGAATTTTCAGTTGTGTGGTCATTTTAGACTTGCTGATTTTGAGGGATGTGACAAGTGATGTCTTTTAATTCCTACTGAAGTGATGTACTTAGAATTTTAGCTCTTTGATAATAGTATAGTACTACAATAAGGTTTAGAACTTAGAGTAATCAACTTGCTTTGTTTAATTGAAATTTAAAATGATAACGAATGGGTGTGTCAGATTTTCTTAACTACACAGTCATTGGCACACTTTTTTTTTTCTTCAGTAAACAAGCCTGATTTACGAGCAGTTCCCGTCAAATGAGAAGGGAAAATTCTCTTCAGTATTTTTTTTTGGTTTAGTCCATTATTACCACCAAGTGTTAGATCATGGGTCAGCGAACTATGGTCCACTCACAGCCGGTTTATTTTTACACAGCTATATTGAGATATAATTCAAACGCCATACAATTCACCTATTTAAAGTGTACAAACATTTCAGTGGCATTTAGTATAGTCACAGAGTTGTGCAACCATCACCATAGTTCCCCATTTTCACTACCCCAAAGGGAAATCATGCCTGTTACTCATGCAGCCCTTGACCTAAGAATGGTTTTTACATTTTACATTTCTTTCAAAAAGAAAAGAAAGATGTAAAGAAGAAAATAGCGCAAGAGAGACACATGTAGCCACAAAGCCTGAATTCTGTGCTATCTTGCACTTTTCAGATAGTCTGGACCCTAATTTGTAGATTAACTCTTTACAACATTTGTTTACTTTCTCCCACTTCCCCATTCCCAAACACATCCAGAGACTTTAGTTTTGGTGAATTTACCAAAAGGAAGTTGTAGACACCATGACACTTCACCTCCACATGCTTCAGTAGTGACCTTCTAAGAACAAGAACACTTGTCTACTTGGCTACATGTAGCCAAGTAGATATTATCTAATGATATTATATTATATATTGTGCGTATTAAGATTTTCATGATATTATCTAATATATTGTGCGTTTTAAGATTTTCCCAGGTGGCCCAATAATGTCTTTCATAGCTTTTTTTAAAACGCAGAGTGTACTTTAGTTTTCATATCTCTTTAGTTTTATTTAGTGCACAACAGCACCATCCCTCCCCTCCTCCCTGAAGAAGAGAATGAAATTAGCCCACGTGCTTTTTCATCTCCCTGAACTTAGGAGGCCTGTGTTAGAGTTCTATGTTGTTAATTGTCTGTATCACCTTGAACGAGTCCCATCACCTCTCTGGACATCAGTTTTTTGTTTTCTTTTCTTTTTGATGCTCAGTATATTTTATTAGCTTTTATATTTTACACTGTGCAATAATGTGATCCACATAAACCAGCATGCACATTTAAAAAATAACTAATTTATAAAAATATTGGCCTCAGAAATTGTTCACTGTTACTTAATATTCAAATGATATACTTTCCCATTCTCTTCCATTTTCTTGTTTGTGCAGTTTTTACTTTGACATCCCAGTTTATTTGCACACCTCCCTCCCCTTTGGAGCATAAGCAGTACTCTCCACTGGCTCATCCTCTTATTTTCCATCTTCAGTTCTGCGCTAATACAGTAGCAGGCAGGGATGGGTGACAAAAAGATGTGCTGCTCTATAGAGTTCAAGCAGTGAAGCGATTTGATACAAACAATGAGGTGCTTTACGGAACCACTTGGAAAGGCTGGTGGAATGAAATGCAAGGGAAGATGCCACTAGCTGTTTTTTCTCCCTAAATTTCTTGGGGTCACATTGGTTGATAAAATGACATAGGTTTCACGTGTACAATTCTATAATATATCAGTGTATGTTCAGCAGATTCAGAGTCAAATCTCTTTCTGTCACCATATATTTGACCCCCTTTACCCTTTTCTACCTCAGCGCCCCCCCCTTACCCTGTGGTAATCACCATACTGTTGTCTGTGTCTATGAGTTTTTGTTTGCTTGTTTATCTTCTTTCTTGCTTTCAGATTTATGTCCTATATATGAGTGAAATCATATGGTTTTCAACTTTTTCTGTGACATATTTCACTTAGCATGGTATTCTCAGGATCCATCCATGTGGTTGCAAGTGGCAGTATTTTATCTTATGGCCGAGTAATAGTCCATTGTATCTATGGACATTAGTTTTGTCAGCTGTAAATTAGGAGGTTGAACTGGACAGGAAGGTGCTTGAGGGAAGTACCATGTCCTGGTCATCTCAATGCCAATCATAATAGCAGGTACAAAGAAAGTATGCAGTATTTGTTGAATAAATGAGCCATCCTTTTGTTTCCATAATCATCTTAAACCTCTTCCCAGTAAAACGATAGTGAAGAGAATGACTTGACATTCTGAAGGAGAGCTTAGTCTTAGAAATCTTTCTTCCATGCTTTGCCACCATTCACCCATAAGTCCTCACTGCTTCAGTGTCCGTAAGGAAGAGCCCAATAAGGCCCCAATCTCTTAGGAAGGGAAATGGAATTCTTCAATCTGCTTTAAAGACTTAGAAGAAATTGTAGAGCTTTGCCTAGAAGTTGAAGGTCAACTCTTTGTGGTGTGGATCCAATCCCTGGCTTGTAGTTTTCACATAGAGACAGAAAAATATCAACTGAGTCCCAATGAAGGAAAAACAGTGGGAAAACGAATAAAACAAAACAAAAGCACTAAAATTGTGGAAGAATTCCACCTCAAATGTTTACTGCTATTCTGTCTGTTTCTTTTTGTCCTCCTGTCTAAATTCTACTAACCTACAATGGTGAGATTGAAGCCTTCCTTGCTATTCGAACCAGTATTTACCTATTTTGATGCTTTACATTAGGACCTGTATTTTGTATACTAAACATTTTGACCATTAATTAATATTCTGTTTTCAAACCAAATGATCTTAATAAAAAATTAGTTCTCTTGTCTTAGATTTTTCACAAATGTCCTACAAACCTTTTCACAGTTTTAGGCACATGAAAATATGCCGTTTTTATTGTGGTAAAATACACACAACATAAAATGCATCATTATTGACATTTAATACATTAACAGTGTTTGCAACCATGACTATTATCTAGTTCTGTAACTTTTTTTATCACCCCAAATGGAAATGATTAAGCAGGCATTCCCCAGTCTCCCTCCACCAGCCTTTCGCAACTATGAATCTGTTTTCTATCTATAGATTTGCCTGTTTTGACTATTGCATATAAGTGAAATGATACAACATATGACCATTTATATCTGGCTTCTTTAATGTATCATAATGTTTTCAGTGTTCATTCATGTTGTGGCGTGTATTAGTACTGCATTCCTTTTTATGGCCAAATAATATTCTATTGCATGGATACACCACATTTTGTTTATCCATTTATTAGTTGATAAAATTTGGGTTGTTTCCACCTTTTGGTTATTGTGAATAATGCTGCTACAAACATTCCTGTACAAGTTTTTGTACATGTTTTGTACCTGTTTTCAATTGTTTTGGGTATTTACCCAGGAATGGAATTATGTGTCTATATATTTTATTTCCTTTTCCTTGTTATACAAAATATATTTTCTATAGATACTTTAGTACGTTGTGTTTTTTCATTTAAGATATCTTGAAAATCCCTCCATATTAGTATGTAGCAATCTACCTTATTGACTTATTTCTACATAGCTGCATAGTATTCCATTGTATGGATGTACCATGGTGTATTCAGATGGTTTCCCTTGAATAGACATTTAGATTTTCAGTAATTTGCTATGACAAGTTGAATATCTGCAAATGGTGTTTTCCTCGGAAAATGTCTTGAAATGGGATTGCTGACTCAGAACGTAAATGCACATGAAGTTTTATGAGATGTTGCCAGATTCTCCTCAATAGGAGTCATCCCGTTTTACACTCCCATGAACAATGAGTGTCTGATTAGATCCCATGGTGTCGCCAACAGTGTTGTCAGCTTTTCAATTTGTGTCACTCCAAAATGTGAGAAATAATATTTTGGTGTGGTTTTAATTTGCATTTCTTTTACACATGAAGTTGGGCATCCTTTCATAAAACTGAATAATTATTTATATATATACAGGCATACCTCAGAGGTATTGTGCGTTTTGTTTCAGACCACCAAAATAAAGTATCACAAAACGAGTCCTAATCCTTTTGCTGGTGGAGGATCTTGTCTTCAATTTGTAAAAAATGCAACATCTGTGAAGTGCAATAAAGCGAAACACAATAAAATGAAGTATACCTATATTTTTATGTGAACCATATATTTGTGTTTATTATCCACATTACTTTTGGGTTTTGGGGCTTTTTTTTTAAATATCAGCAAAATTGGTCCTTTATCTGTGAAACATTGCAAAAATGTTCTCCTGTTTTGTCTTTAAACTTGTTTCTGGAATAACTGAATTTATTATTATTTTTTCTTGCAAATGGATTTTGAATCATAATTAAAGTATCCCCCATACAGGTTACAAAGGAATTTGCCCTTTTTTTCTCAAAAAATACTCATTTTAATGTTTTAAAAGACAGATAAATGATAGGCAGAGGGAGTCTAGATCAATTAGAACTGAGGCAGTTGCAGCAAAAATGAACACAATACAATGATATGACCTCATAAAGGAAATGACTAAAATAAAATTTCACAAGTCTTCATGTTTGTAATAATATATCAATGCACAAAATATCAAAAATACAAAGTATGAATTTTCCCCCTTAGGTTTATAATAAACTTTCAACCCTCTGTTTAATGCATTTACTTTCATAAGCCTTCTGTGTTTAGGAGCACATGCTATATGGGTACATACATCTATACTGGTATTTTACCATGGGAATTATAGTTTTCATTTCATTATAGTGACTTGTCTTTTTACCCATAGCTATATACATTTCATTTCCATTATAAGACACTTAAGACCTTTCTAGTGGTAAATTTTAATCAACATGTTACATAAAAAGAATCTTGATTTTTAAAATGAATCTTTTTAGTACTGTAGCATGATGGGTTTAATTGAAAAGTTGAAGCATGATATGGTAACCATGTTGTACTGTTTAAACTAATTCACAGCTGTAGGAAAATGTTTGATTTTAGAAACATAACCAAGATGAGACCGCATAATTATGAGTAGTAAAATACTAGAAAACAGTGAATGAATAAATAAGATGATTTTTCATCAGTGGACGTTCATTAGTTTGCTCTTAGGAACCTGGAAGAAATTGTCATCTCTGAGTTTCAAATGTTCTGGTAAATCTAGCCGTTTCTTAGCTTCCTCACTATCACCTTGAATTGCTGAAATAAGTGACTCTAAAGAATCAAAGTTCTTTTCTGGTCTGGAGTAGCCAACATCGCCACACTGAGGATTTCCCCATAGGTATGCATGATATGAGCTTCCATGGACTTCTTTGAATTCTTGTAGTATGTGTTCCTTCCTATGCTCAGCACCATCTTATGAACATCTCCACTTCCAGTACTGGCCCGGCTATAATAAATGCCAGTGGATTATCTACTATTCAGAAAATTGAGCTGTGGGGATACCCAGCTGCTTGGAGCCGTGGCCAAAGCGCCACACCACTTGGCTGTGGCAGAAGTAAGACAGGTGTGCTTCATGATGCTGCCCGCTTGGGGCACGAGCTATGGCGGGGTCTGCAGGTTCAAAGGAGCTGCTGTGGAGGCGGTGCTCGGATCCCATCCCCCACCAGCCTGGGGACATGGGCAGGAGCTCAGCTGCCAGGCGGGCACCATCCGCAGTGGGCCAGGAGGCACCGGTGATGCTCTGTGGCAAGCCTCTCATGCAGCTGACCCAACAAGCTGCCAGGCAACTCCAGGAATTCATCTTTTTTTATTAAAGTACTTGTACAGTTTCATTTAAAAATTTTTGATCTGTGATCTCTTTGGTGTTTATACTGGTTACTTTCTTTACAAATGGGTAACTGGCACTACTTATTAAAAAGTCCATCTTGTTTCCAGTGATATGAGATGCCACCTTTATTGTATGCTACATTTCTATAAGTAATTGGGTCTTTTTCTGGACAGACTGTTTTCTGTTTCATCTGCTCTGTGTATTTATATGCCACTACCACACTATATTAATGGTTTTTTCTGGGTCTTTTTGAGGTAGAGATTGCTCTGGGATAAATCAGAAAGCGAGAGTAAAACTGACAGTATTAGAAGAGTTCATAGGTGATCTACATATATGCGGTCATAAGAGACAACACGGCATAAGTTGTTCTTTGTTGTGCAAATATCTCTGGTTAGCATTGCTACGACATACTCCATGTGTCTAGTTGCTGTTCTTCATAAAATGGAAATTAGGATGCTACAATATCATAACTGGTAATCTTATTTTTTTCACAGTTCACTTTTCCTGTCAGATTCAGTATAGCTCTAAAAAGTTCATATCATGAAGGCTGCTAGGCCAATCCCCTGTTTCCAGATCAACTTGATCTTTTTATTTCTATGGGGAAAACAGAACCCCCCCCTTAGAAAGCTTTTAATTCACACTAACAATAGCAATTAAACAGTCATACTTAATAACTCATCCAAGTATTTTCCTGGTAGTTCATCAGTTTTTGAAATAACATTCAGCCCAAGTTTTCCTGAATTAAGCTCATTTTAAAGATTCTTCCCTGTGTACCTTGCATAAAATGGCATATTCTTGTAGTTTGAATTTTGAATGTTTTTCTTCTCAAATTCTCATATACAGAGAGCAGGTGACTGGGCTTTTAGTTTTCCATTTTAATTTTTGCCAGTACATGTTTCTGAATTGTATTCCAACAGGAAAAGATAAAACACACAACAAAGAAAAGAGGAATGTAAAGAAGGCTGCGGTGACAAAACCAAACAATATCAAGTCCATGTTCATTGCTAGTGCAGGGAAGAAAACCACAGATGTGAGTTTTATCATTTTCGTATACTTTTGCCTTTTCCTTTGTGAAACAAATTTAATGTTTACTTATACAGCTGTTAGGTGCTCAGTATATTGAGCAATGTATTTGAGCAGTATTTTCCCAATTTCAGTCACTAAGTTGAAAGTAGATTTCTAGGTGAATTTAGGTACCCCAGTGGTTGAAAGTTGGAGGTAGAAAAGAAGATGGAATCAAAAAGCTGAACTGACTGTTTATTTTAGTGATTAACAAGGAGGATTGTGGAATGAGGGTGGAAATAGAGGACGGGAGCTCTAATTTTGAGAATTATGTGCATACAGGTGATTAAGGTCTGTGAGTGGCAGGTGAGCGCTCAGAGTAAGGACTGAAGAGGCCAGGACTGACTGGGTTAGGTTCTTTCTCAGACATGTGATCTGGGTGAAAATGGGAAGTGTGTGGCTTTCTTATTCTACCTTCCTTTATAACTTCCAGAAAAATGTAGACTTGTCCAAGGATGGTCTGCTAGGTGACATTCTACAAGATATGACCCCTGAGGTAAGTGAATCTCCGGGAGCTGTCAACTATGCAGGGGACATGGCTAAAGAAACAATTCAGTAATTATACAAAACAGACTATTGTCAGAATTAAAAAAAAATACAGTGACACCACCACCATCGCCACCACCACAAAAACACCCCAAGCCCCTAAAACAACACTTTGATTGGTTTCTTCTCAGCATTTTAGGTGAGAAGTTTCCAGCTGTTACAAGCCGTGTGATTCTGTAGATAGAGCTACGTGGGGGCATGTTGGAGGTAGTAAGAATACACACGAGTCACTTCTGGGAATGCACACGGCTTGCACTCAGTTGCTGCAGTATATTTTCCCGAAATAGATTGAAGTCTGTCAGTCTGTATAGTCAGGTATGAGATTGAAGTCTGTCAGTCTGTATAGTCAGGTATGAGATTGTTATCTTGAATTCAGAGCAGGAGCGTAGGAAGAGTCAGTGAGCTGCCCCTGATGGAGCTCAGACAGGCTCAGCTGTACCGGGAATTTGCAACTTGGCTACTTCACATAAAGACTAAAGTCTGATTTAGAGGTGTGCATCTTTCTAAGTGACCCTTGATAAAAATGACTAACACCAACACCACGGAGTTCTAGCTTGACAGTTTTTTAAGTGTAATATTCTGGAAGGGTAAGGAAAAGGTGTGTTAAGTTTTAAAAAGAAAAAATTGGTCAGGGTGGATTCAATATCTATTCTGGTTTTCTAGTGAGTCTGGTATTGTTGCTATAGTAACCACCGTGCATGAACATAGATCTGTGGGGGGAGCAGGGAAGGAAAAACATGCCTTGCTCATTGGGCTTCAAGTGGGGGAAGAAATGTACTTTTTTTGTCTTGGGGTAAACCAAGTATGGGCGTGAATGTCTGTCTTACCCCTCCTTTTAGACATCTTTTACAACTCCACCACCTGTAATACTGAAGAAAAAACGATCCATTGAAACTTCAATGAATCCTTTCTCCATGCACACCCCCAAGGTAAAGTGTGTGGAAATGCCTTCAAACATGATTTATGTTATTGCTTAAAACTTACTTGGCTGCTTTTCTATGTGAGGGAAATGCCTTTGAATTTGTTGTTGATTTTTGTTTTAAATTAGGACTCCCATTTCATTATATAGTTTTATGTATTTCAAAAATAGCATGTGCCTGCTTTTTTCATAGTAAATTTTATAGTAGTTAGTATGTGTTTATTATAGGTATTACAACTGTGGTAAATGTAATAATTTTCCTCCTGGAAACATGTATTTTTTTTGTAAACCTAGGTAACAGTAAAATAATTGAAGCTGTTATGTTAATAATACACAAAATCGTTTTATAAACGGGAACTGTCATTATCTCTGGCCAGGGTAGGACAGTTGGCATATTTTTAGTATGCAGGTCTAACCGACTAAACATTTAAAAACATTTACAGGCAATTCCTTCAGGAAAAACTGATTCCCCTGTCTCAAGGAAAGAGCCTCCATTAACTCTTGTTCCTGTTAAACGTGCTCGATTTGCTGGTAAGTCTGATCTCAGGCAGAAGTACAAGGGTGTGGAACAGTTGCAAGGTGCTGTCAAAAATTGTGGCCCCGTGAGTGACCGGTTAGCTCAGTTGGTTAGAGCGTGGTGCTGATAACACCAAGGTTGCCAGTTTGGTCCCCACATGGGCCACTGTGAGCTGCGCCCTCCTCAGAGAGTCACCTATGCCATTGTAGCATGAAAACAACGTGTAACCAATGACCACGGCTGTTCCCCAATAAAATAAAAATAAAAATGGTGGCCCCATGAAGCAGGAAGTGGAGGTTATTTTGAAGGAATTGTGATAGCAAGTTTAAGTGGGAAAGATTTGAATTCATAGCAGTAAAAGTTAAAAACAACCAGTTCGGAGATTGAAGAGAAATGCAAATACAGCGTTGGAGAAAGGTAAGCTGCTGTTGCTGTGCCACGGAAGCCTTTGTGCTCCACGGCAGCAGCAGTGCCTGATGAGAATGTGTGTGTGCTGATGCCCACAGCAGATCCAGTGCTGGTGCCATGTCCTACAGCAGAGACAGTGCCAGCCCTGTGTCCACGCAATAAGGACGAGTCAGTGGCAGTGGATTTTGAAGATGTCGACTTTGATGAGCCCATGGAAGCTGAGGAGGTAGACTTGGAGCCTGTGGCTGCGAAGACTCGGGACCAAAAGAGTGAGCCAGCAAAAGGGGTGAAAACTGAGGCAGATCCCCAGAAAGGGACCACGTCTTGCCTGTAAGCATTTTATAACTTTTTGGCAAGTAGCGCTACAGTGATTCTGTTAGATTTTGAAGAGTTTTTGAAAAGGAATTTTTTTTTTTTGCAGAGGGAGTTTTGTCCCAGATGGCTCTTGTTGGGACATTGATCGGGAGGATGACAGTGGTTTCTCAGCCCAGGACGTTCAAGTGGATTCCAATAATCTCCCGCTGGTAAAAGGGGCAGATGAGGAGCAAGTGTTTCAGTTTTTTTGGCTGGATGCCTATGAAGATCAGTACAGCCAGCCAGGTAATCATACTGGATGTCTTTACGGAACAGCGCTGTTCCCTTCAACCCTTTAGTGATTGTAATCGGCACAGACCCTGTGCTCATATACGTGCACAGTGACAGAGCAACACTCAGTCACTGTAAAGTGCATGAGCCACCCGGATGGAGAGGAGCTGTGGTGTGAATAATCCTTAAAGATGCTTTCTCTGAAAACCAGGTATATGTGATGTCGGAATGTGTGCTTGTAGTTTATCTTTGGTATATTTGAATTTATAGTTCTGCGCTTTAGATGGGATCAGTCATTAATTTGTTCCTTTATTCAGCAAACTGAACACTCTGTGTGCCAGGCACTGAAATGGGGTTAACAAGCTGGACAAATTCTCTACCCTAATGGAACATGCATTCTAGTGGGAGCGGGTGGGGTGCAATAGGCAATAAATAAGGTAAGGTGATAAATGGTGTAAAGGCAGTAAGTTGGAGGATGGCCTGGGAAGGCCCATCAGAGGAGACCACCATTGGGCTGAGATCTGAGGAACGTGCAGATCTGATGAAAGAGCATTTCAACCTGAAGAGCCAGTAAGCACAGAGGCCTGGAGACAGAAAGGAGGAAGCCTCTGTGGTTGTAGCACAGGAATCAAATGACAAGATTGGTAGAAAATGGAGTTAGAGATACAGGCCAAGGCCAGACAATGAAGGACCCTGAAAGCTATATTAAGGAGTTTCGATCTTATTTTTAAAAGAGGTGGGGAGGTAGGGGAAGATTTTAAGTATTGGCAGGGTGGGTGGGGTGGTGGGAACGTTGTTGGGTGTACATTTCAATAGGAACCCTGTAGTTTATATAGCAAAAAGCATGTGTGTGCACATGCACATACTGGGGAAGTGAGGAAGCCCTGGAGTTCAGTCAGTCCAGGGTAGACATGCTAGTTACTTGGACTAGTGATAGCTGTGGAGAGGAGAGAAGTGAATGCATTTAACATGTATTTTGACATGAACTTGTTGATGGATTGAGTGAGGTTGACAGAAAGGAGGAATCAAGGATGATTTCCCAGGTCCTCCTTGGAATGAGCCGATGCTATGAATTCTGACTCACAGAAGCCAGGAGACTTGCCACTTTCCTTTCGTGCTCCTTTGAGCCTTTCTTTGCTGTGGGACTGGGTGTAACAAGGTCTGTTGGATTAATATAAAATACAGTATACACCCTTAAACAGAATTGCCTTTATTCAAATCCATTTCTGGATCTGAGGAAGATGCCAACTGTATTTTTCAAAGTGGTTTCCTGGAGGCTGCATCTGGTGAAAATAGAGGGAGTGTCTGGATGTCAGTAAAGAAAGTGAATGAGTTTGAAGAGTAGATATTACCCATCAGACTTGGAGGCCAGATTTACCTTAAAGATACTCAGGTGCTGACTTTAACTGGAAAGATGTTAATGGTCTCTCAGAGGGGAGGCAGAGGCGTTAATATGTTCCAGCTTCTCAGCTTCAGCTTCTCAAAAATGTCCACGCCTGCAGAGCCGCTTGAGTTGCTACTGGCATGTGATAGTTTGTTAGGTAAAGATCCAAGCAATCTTAGAAATGGTATCTCACATACTTTGGGGTAAGATGGTTTGGTGAGACCCTGTCACCTCTTTGACTACCTCTTTGTTACTTGGAAGTGGCAGGAAGACTGGCCAGTGTGATTCCATGAGGCTGAGCAGGTATTTCCCACCGATCGTCGAAACCCAGGCCGCCCATTGTACAGTTGCGGGGGGCCCCATATTCACATGGGCTTCATGGGACCTCTGGAGCACAGTGCTGTGCGTTGTGCTCGCCGGGGTCGTGTGACAGGAAATGCCTGCCCTGCCCTGCCCAGTGCTGCCTCCTGTCTTTGCTGCATCTGCTTGACCGTGGATTTGATTCCCTGTCATGGCTAATGGTCTCATCAAAACCTGAAACCTGGGAGCCTGCCTTGATTCCCCCATATCCGCACTCCCCTCGCCAAGTAGGACCAGTCTTCCCCTAAGGTAGACAAGCTGTCTCCTCTTTCTCCTCACAGCTCCCACCTCTGGTTCCTTTTTGCTTACAGAAACCATTGCACCAGCCTCCTAATTGATCCCTCAGCTGTTATCCCCCACGTTTTAGCCAGAGCGATTTCTCAGAAGGGTAACTGACCATGTCGTTTCCTCATTTAAAAAAACCCTCAGTAGGGCCAGCCGAGTGGCTCAGTTGGTTAAGAGCTCGCTCAAGAGTTTGAGCTCTGAGCAACAGCGGTTCGAGTCCAGCCCGAGCTGAGCAGCCGCTGAGCTGCCAACAGGTAGCAGGATGGCTCAGCTAAAAACAAACAAACAAAAACCCTCAGTGGCTACTGCCCACAACGTAAACTCCAAGTTCCTTAGCAAGGCTTCTGATACCTGTCATGCATGACTTTTGTACCCTAGAAATGGCTCCCTGTCTGTACCTGCTGCTCTTTATACCATGTACCTGTCTTTACTCATTGTGTGACGGAATGCCCTCATCTGGCTCAGCCCAGGTGTCATCTCCTAATTCTCCAGACCAGCCTAAGAGTCCTTTCTCTGATCGCATCATACCCTTTCTTATCATAGCGTTTGTCAGATTATTTTGAAAAGATTTGATTCTGTGTTTTTCTTTCCCTCCAAGCATTTTAGCTCCTGGAGGGCTGGGACCTTTTATTTCCAGCTTTCAGCATGATTCCAGGCATATAGTGGGTGTTTAATAAATGTTCATTGAAATAAACTGCACAGTGATTGACAGTTCTGTAGATGCATGTGAGAGGTTTCAGAGAACCAGAGTTGCATTTGCTGCTGTACTGAGTATGCCTTATGAAGCCTTGTAGCAGTGTTGGGGTAAGAATGGGTAACCCAGAAGTGGTAGGTGCCTCTCCCTCCACAGATTAATCCGCATCTAAAGCATCAGATCACGTGTGAATTGCCAAGGATTACAACTAAGGAACAATAACCACCCTTTTATTCCTGTGTGAGAAAGGGGTTTATTGTTTCCATCTTTGACTTACCAGTTGATAGTCTTATTAAAAAACAGCATTGTTTTGCAGGATAAGGGTTTAGACCTGCACTGTCCACTGTGGTAGCCATTGGCTTTTAAATTTAAATTCACTAAAGTGAATTTTCTCAGCTACTAGCCACATTTCAAGTGCTTGGTAGCCACATGTGGCTAGTAGCTACCATATCCATGGATGGCACAGATACAGACAGAATTCCTTCATCACAGAAATTTGTATCGGCTAGTGCTGGTCTGTATAGTAATAGGCGTTGGAGGTTAAAATTGAGGCATTGAAGCACAACTGTATTCGCAAAGCAACCAATTTATATGTATTGTTGAATTCCTGATAACTGACCATACCCATGGATAGGCCTTTTCAACCACTATTGGGAAATATCGTGCAATTGAAAGAGGAACATGCCTATTATTGTTCTGACTTCCAAATGCTCAGGTAAAAGGAAATTTCTTTTTTTGGGGGGGAGGGGGTCCGAGGAGGGAAGAGGTGTCTGATGGGAATGCTGCCCTTGGCAGGGGGCTGGGGTGGGAGGCTCCAACTAAGCCCCCTGGGCCTCTTGAGGGAGAAACCAGGTTCTGCGTGGTGGAAGTAGGCCGGGACTGGGATGGGGGTGCCACTCAGGGGTGTTGGGGTGCCCTCTGTGGGCACAGGCATGAGCAGCACAGGAAGTCCTGAGAAGTATAACACAGAACAGTGTGTCCACTCAAATAGCGCCTTGTCCTGTGGCCCCAGAAAGGCTGTGGAAGAAAGCCGCGTCTATTCCACACACATGTTCTGCTTTAAACATGGAGGCCGTGGGGGACACGAGCACCTGCCGGGAAAAGGCAGAGGACAAATATATACACGCCTGCACACAGTCATCTGTACCTGGAGGTCAGAGAAACATAAACTGAAAAGCACGAGGCCGTATCCTGGAGGCTCCCACAGTCCAGCAGATGTTACACCAAGGCAGGTTCTGGAGCCAGACCACCCACGCATACATCTCTGTCTTGTCACAACCTCTATTTGACCTTAAGATATGCAACCTCTTCCAAGACTGTAAGGCGGATATATTCACACAGGCCCACACTTCCTTATCTTCAGTTCCAAAGTAAAAAAGAAGGTCTGATTCCAGAATTTTCTTTCTTGCTTTCTTTGTCATAGTTGTTATGTTAAAACTCATGGAATGGGGGCCAGCCGAGTGGCTCAGTTGGTTGAGAGTTAGCTTAAGAGTGTGAGCTCTGAGCAACAGGGCTGTCGTTCGATTCCCACGTGGCCAGTGATTCTGCACCTGAGCTGAGCTGCCACTGAGCTCTAAAAGGAAATTTCTAATGCTGGACAAGGCCTCAGAGATCACCTAGTCTAGTTAATTTCCTTATAGAAGAACAAGCTGAGGCTCTAAAAATAAAGTGGTCAGCTCCTCAGTGGCACAGTTCTGGGCTTCTCACCCTCAGGCTACTCTGCTGTTCCGTGGTTCTTCTCAGGTTTTGTCCTCTGTGATTGATGCCAGCGGGTTAAATAAGATGGCTTAAAAAAAAACCCTTTAATCTTTGAGAGTTGAACAGTTCTATCATGACAGCAGGTAATGATCACCGAGCTTAGGTGAAATCAATGCTAATAAAAACGAAGTACTCCCAAAGACCCCGTTATTGTCCCTCACTTTCTTCCAGATTCTAAGTAAGTCAGTTGTTGCTGAATGCTCCATAATTATGAAAAGAATCTTACCCTTTGCACATGGGAAGATATCCTGTCTTCATTATGACTTTTTCAAGGTTGAATAATCCTGACTGCACCTGGTTTCAGCTAGTAACTTTGGGGGGAATGTAATCTTTGTTTACCATGATCTTTTTGTGGCAAATGAGGCATAAACAGTGTCAAATGTGTTGCATGAAGTGTGATATTAGTTTGACTGTAAAATGAGCTATTTGAATCTTTGAATCCAATATTAGGGTCTTTATTTTTCTTTGCATGGAATTTTGTTTTTTCATCTCTAACTGTTGTGAGGATGACTTTTAATTTTCTGTGCTACTGTGAGTTTTTTCTTTTTTAATCATCCCCACACTCCCTTCCCCCTCCCCTATCTCCCCCCCACCTGCCTCCTTCCCCCCCAGCTGAAAATCACACAAGAATGTAATAATTTTAATCATCTGCAGAAATGAAAATTCTTAGATGGTCTTATTTCTACTAGAACGCATTACAAAAGGAAGCACTGATGAGCTATCTTGTGAAGAAACTGGAGTAATTGGCCTTGGGAACAGTAGCCTTTGCACGTGCCAGTATTTTCTTAGTGTCTCAGACAAGTGGCTGTGTTGAGTGCCTGTGTTGATTACTGCTGTCTATTCATGGAGCCCAGGATTTTGCACAGTGACCATCTCTTCGGTGGACTAACAAATCTTGGGAGCCCTATCTTGATGGCCAGTGTTCATCAACAATGACTGGATGTCTGGAAAGGCTTGTTTTTACTTTGTGGTCTACGTTACCCAGGGATCTCAAAAGCAGTATGTCTGCTAATTTGGTTATTAGACCATTTGTTGAACCAAAATGGAAGAGAAAGGAACACTACCTAGCCAGGTGTCTTAAGTAACCTGTGAGGTAGAAAGGGTGAAATAGGACATGACAGTTGAACCCTGTTATGAGATACGTATTATATGAAATAAGATATATAAGATGAATTATGTTTTTCCCAAACACAGTTTTACGTATAGAAAAATACTGATGTATCATACATAGTTAACATTATACATGAATGTTAATTTTTATTGGTAAGTACAAGTGCTAAAAAGGAATTCATTAATTCTCAGAATTCTCACAAGAGGTTTAAATATGAGATTTGTTGGAGAGTAGTTTGCTCTTTGTTTTTGTTTCTCAATGTAGGTAATTCTGGTTTGAGGGAAAAGGTGTTTGTTATTTTTTGTTGTTTCCCTACACTGACCTCGGATGTCGCCCTCATTTTTGAGGTATATCTATTGATGTCATGACTTTCCCGACTACCCAGTACATTGACCTGGGATGTCTCCGCAGTTCCCCAGGGGTTTCCACACTGACCTGGGGTGTCTCAGTAGTTCCTCAGGTGTGTCTGCTGAGGCTTGGGATGTCTCCCTAATTCTTGGGGAAATGTTTACACCAAAAATTGTTCTGTCCCCTGTCGTGGTCACAGGTTTTACCAGTGTGGTATTGTTGTATGGCATAAGAACTGAGTAAAGGAACTGGTCTTTGGGAGTGGACAGCAGATATAAATTTGCTGTAAAAAATGATGGCATGAAGGCATAAATGTGTGGACACATTCATTGAGCCTTTATAGTGCCTCCTTAATGTGATCTAATTGAAATGTTTCTTTTCTCATGGTTTTCTCTTATTCTTTTAGGTGTGGTATTTCTGTTTGGTAAAGTTTGGATCGAATCTGCTGAGACCCATGTGAGCTGTTGTGTTATGGTGAAAAACATTGAGCGAACGCTTTACTTCCTTCCCCGTGAAACGGTAAATGTTAGTGATTAGCTTCCAATTCCAGGTGCATTCTATGTTCTGCCACCAGCCCTTTTCTTCAACAGGGCTGTGAATTATCCACACCCTTGATGCTTTTTTCTTGCTGCCTGTCTACTGACCACTGATTGTCAGCAGCTCCATTAGAGGTTGAGAAAAGTAGAGAAATGGAGTAAAACTTGTTAGAGTGTAAAAGGGTCTGAGTTTTAGTATATGATGCGATCTTTCCCCCTACCCTGCATTTCTGTAGTAATTGGGGTTGGGAGTATATGGCCCAGTTTTCATGTTTTTGCTGTATAGCAGCAGTACTGTTTCCCCCACAGCCATTTAACAAGGTCAGTTGCGTTTGCTTCTCCTTTTTTGTTGGGACTTAACACCCATAGTCCCCTCCCAAACCCAGCCCCTCCCCATCTGAACTGAACTGTGAAGATTCGTTGTCAGGATTTACAACACTCTTCTCCCATTTTGTAGGATCAATCTGGTTTGCTTCTCTGTTGCCATTGGGAAGAATTGGGCATTTGGTTTAGTACAGTTTTTGGACTGTTTGTATCTTTGAACTCACCTGTAAGGCTGTTCTATTAAATGTTTAAATGGGTGAAGATGAAAATTGATTTAGACCTGGGTTTCTGGTAGTTGAAAAGATACTTTTTTTCCCCTTCCCCTCCCTTCTCCATGGGAGAGCAGAAAATTGACCTACACACAAGGAAAGAAACAGGAACTCCAGTTACAATGAAGGATGTTTATGATGAATTTGATGAGAAAATAGCAGCAAAATATAAAATTATGAAGTTCAAGTCCAAGGTTTGTATTTGCTAATAATTTTCTCCAGCTCTAATTATTAGTTGTTCGTTTTCTCATTTAGCAAATAGTTATTGCATATCTTCTTTGTGCAAAATGCCCTTGTGTGGCTATAATTCATCGAATGGAAATTTCATAGATATCAAATCAATGTTACATTTGTAAAAATATTTTTCTTTCTCTTTGAACTGCTGTAAAATAATGTTCATTAATTTGAATAGAAAGATAATTTATAGCAAAGTAATTGCTTCCAGTACTTGCAGCATATCTTGTGCTCTTATTCCCAAATGGAGAAGAAACTGTTCTGATCTTGTTTATATTAGTTATTGCCAAGTAGTCTTAGTCAGAAGGTTAAGTAAGGTTTTTATCTCTAAAAATCAGGGACTGTGATGCTATTCTGATAGAATAAAAATCTTCTGTTCACGTAATAGAGGTTGATCAGTGTGACATACTGATTTGTGAGATATTGATGCCTTCGGACATCACTGTAACTCAGCATACTGGCTGCTTACAGCGCTTGCGATGTAGGCGGGTTGAGTTGCTGAAGATGAGGCTAATCATCTTAACTGTTTGAGCTTTGAATGATGGCTGATGGATCAAGTCTCTAAAATTCTCAAAGCGATGTGGTGTAATGGTGAAGAGCATAGGTGCTATGGCCCGACAACTTGTGCATTAAATCCTAGCCCTCCTGCTCCTAAGTGTGTGACCTTGGACAAGTGCCAAGTGACTTCTCTGCGCCTGTGTCTTCACCTGAGAAGTGGGGCCTTATTTTAAGAGTTGCTGGAAGGGTTAAGTCAATTCGTATTAGGTTATTAGCAAACACTCAGTAAATATGAGCTACAATTATGCTCATTATGAATTTTTCTAGCAAGATGGAGTTGGGTAATATCAGAGTAGGAAATGATTTAGTGCATCACCATTATAAAAAATTGTAATCTTTTATTGCCCCTCTTGAATGTAAATATTTCTAAGTTCTTTAGTGTCTATGAGAAGTCTTTTTAGCATTTTGTCACGGGGTGTTTTAGTCCCAGTTGAAAGGGCAAACGGGTGTCTTTTTGGCTTTGTTTACCCTTGTGTTCCATAAGGATGCTAGATTCCTAATGATTAAATACAGGGACATGTATTGTGTATATAACGCTTATTTATTTTGTGAAAAGTTTTGTCTTAATGATTTCAAAATATCTTTTTACCCAGATAGTGGAAAAGAACTATGCTTTTGAGATACCTGATGTTCCAGAAAAATCTGAGTACTTGGAAGTTAGATACTCGGTAAGTCCAACAAAGAAAAGGACTGGGTTTTGGTTGAGAATGACATTTTTCTGTTTTTGAAATTTCAGTTGGCTTTCACGTAGTGTTGGCAGAGCTCCTTGAGCCCCCAGTTCATTGAAGTGGGCTTACAGTAATGAATAATTTAACTGGATAAAAATGGAAATCTGTCGACCACAGGTTATACTGCCTTTCTCTGCTTTCAAGTATGCATCTTTAAATAAATAAGTTGTAACTGCACAACTGTTTGTCAAGTGGGATGAGTGCCACATGATGGAGTTGGCCATCATTAGTCTGTTGAATTGTCTCTTCTGAGCAGTGGAAAGGTGAGAGAGGAGAGCATCAGTAGTGTCACTATAGTGCTGCTCTTGCTCCCGTGACAGGCAAGGTCATTGCTGTGGGATGTTAATTAACTGGACCTTAACCTCTTTTTACCTCTGTTCTAGTGTTCTGATCCCACAATGTTGGTAAAAGGAAACTTTTAAGAAATGTTTCTGACAGTGGTGATGAAATGTACCATGGAAGCATTTTGAATGAGACTCACTCTCTTGCTTTCATTCCTCTAATGCAGTGGTACTTATTTGGCTATTCTTTATCAGTAAGGCATGTGCAGCTCTGGACAGAAATCCTCTTTGGCCTATTTTTCTTCTAATGGGTGTCATCAAGATGCATTATTTTGTCATTGTGAATTGTTTTTTGTTTCCCACTGTGAATTGTTTTGGATTTCATTTGTGGCAAATGACATTTCATATATATAAAAGGAGTTTCTGCTGGTGCTTCATAGAGAGGCTTTTGTTTATTTCAAATATAGACTTGGGAAAATGTGAAGTAATAGTTTTAAACCAAAAAGATTTTTCTCTTCTTTGCTGTTTTCAGGCTGAAATGCAACAGCTTCCTCAGAATTTGGAAGGAGAAACTTTTTCTCATGTGTTTGGGACTAACACATCCAGCTTGGAACTGTTCTTGATGAACAGAAAGATCAAAGGACCTTGTTGGCTCGAAGTAAAAAATCCACGTAAGGAAAAATTTACTTTCAGAACACTAAGTAAATTGCTGATAGATGTGGTTTTTAAGAGGGAAGGTAGGGAATTGGCCTACTTATTTCAGTGTGCCCACTTCCTTTTTTAATGTTTTTTTCCTCAAGGTTTTCCTTAAGTGAACACAAGGAAAATGTTTGGAATCACTTGCTCGCTGAAATGCTTGGCAGTATAGTTGGAGGGAGGCTGTAGTTAGCCCAGGTGGCTTTTGGTCACATCCCTCATTGTGCTGCTGTCCCTACGGACTTCTGACCTGGCTGATATGGCCCAGCTGTTGTATGTAGTTAACTGCTGACCTCCAAAGGAGGGGGGACATCACTGCCCCATGTGGATAATTCTTGTTTGGTCTCTTGCCTGATGTTTTTCGGTATTTGCATCTGTGATACTTGTTTTGTCTTCATGATTCTCTTAAAAATGTTTTCTAAGCCAGCCGAGTGGCTCAGTTGATTAAGAGCTCACTCAAGAGTGCAAGCTCTGAGCAACAGGGCCGCCAGTTCAATTCCCGGCCTGAGCTGAGCTGCCACTGAGCTGCCAACAGGTGGCAGGATGGCTCAGCTAAAAAAAAAATGTTTTCTAATTCCTCCAAGGCAATGTTTTGTTTTGTTTTTTTAAAAAACCTATTTTGGGTTCTGCATTCTTTGGAAAGTCAGATGAAAACTGTGGACCTTTTTCCCAGGAAAGTGAACATACAGGTATATGTGTATACACATAAGGATTTGCATGCAATCCAATAGTGTGGCTTATTATCAGATGTTATAAGACATTCTTTTTTATTTAAAGATTTTTATTGGAGTATTGGGGGGAAGGGAACAGTGCTGGGGAATTGGGGTAAGGGGAACAGACAAGTTGCTGTCATTTTGTTCTTCAGTCTAGTTGTGGAGGACGTTGCTTCACTGGCCCAAGTTGGCACCATCATTGCGCTCT